ATCCCCCCCACACCCAGACCCCCCTGCTGAGCCCCAAGCACCTTCACCTGGACCCCCCTGCAGTGTCCCATTACCATTGCACCTAGAACCCCTCAACAAGCCCATGTGCATCCAGATCCCCCACTGAGCTGCCCGCACCCAGATTGCCCCACACAGAACCCTCTCAACTCACATCTGGATCCAGGGCCGTCCTTACCCATACGCAAAGTACGCAGCTGCGTAGGGCACCAGGAAATTTGGGGTGCCCTGCACAGCTGTGTGCTGCTCCAGCCCCTGCTCTGGCTCTTCCCCAGGGCTCTGCCCCTGCTCCGCCTCCATCCCGCCCACTTCCCCAAAACCCCCGCCCCTGCTCTGCCCCCACCCTGCCTCTTTCCGCCCCTTTTGTTGCCAACTTACCCAGTTTTGTGAGATCAGTCTGCGACTCTTTGCAGTCACCTTTGGACTTAACTACCTTGCGTAAATTTGTATCACCTGCAAATTTTGCTGCCTCACTATTTCACCCCTTTTTCCAGATAAAGACTATGTTCAACAGCACAGGTCCCAGTACAGATCTCTGGGGGACCCCACTATTTACCTCTGTCTATTCTGAAAACTGGCTATTTATTCCTGCCCTTTGTTTCCTATCTTTTAATCAGTTACTGATCCATGAGGACCTTCCTTCTTATCCCATGACTGCTTACTTTGCTTAAGAGCTTTTGGTAAGGGACCTTGTCAAAGGGTTTCTGAAAGTCCAGGTATACTATATGGACTGGATCAGCCTTCTCCACATGTTTATTGACACCCTCAAAGAATTCTAATAGGTTTCTTCATACCTCATTAATCTATTACATTAACATGTAACTTCCAAAAGGGGAACTACACAAAAATGAGGAAGCTAGTTAAATAGAAATTAAGTGGAACAGTCACAAGGATGAAATGCCTAAAAACTGCATGGAGAATATTTAAAAATACTATAGTAAAGTCTCAAAGTAAATGTGTACTCTAAACAAAACAAAACAGTAAGAGGACCAAAAAAATGCCACTATGGCTAAACAGCAGGGTAAAAGAGGCATTTGGAAGCAAAAAGGCATCCTATTACAAATTGGAAGTCGAATCCTACCAAGGAAAATAGAAAGGAACATAAACTATGGCAAGTCAACTGTAAAACTATAAGGCAGGCCAAGAAAGAATTTGAAGAGCAACTAGCTAAAACCACAGAAACTTAACAGCAATTTTTTAAAGTCCATCAGAAGCAGGAAGCTGCCAACCAGTCAGTGGAGCCACTGGAAAATTGAGGTGCTAAAGGAGCACCCAAGGAAGACAAAGTTGTTGCTGAGAAGCTAAAATAATTCTTTGCATCAGTCTTCACTGCAGAGGACGTGGGGGAGATCCCCATACCCAAGCCATTTTTTGTAGGTGACAGTTTTGAGGACCTGCCCCAGACTGAGGTGCCAGTAGAGGAGGTTTTGGAACAAATTGGTAAATTAAACAGTATTTAAACTCATCACCCCAGAGTTCTGAAGGAACTCAAAGATGAAATTGCAGAACTGCTAACTCTGGCATGTAACCTGTTGCTTAAATCAGCCTCTATAGAAGATGATTGGAAGGTAACTAATATAATGCCGGATTTTTTAAAAAGGCTCCAGAGGCAATCCTGGCAATTACAGGCCAGTAAGTCTAACTTCTGTACCAGGCAGATTGGTTGAAACTTTAGTAAGGAACAAAATTATCAGACACATAAATAAACACAACATGCGGGAAGTGACAGCACTGCTATTACTCCCGGGGGCATTCTGCACCAAAAAATGAAAAATTCTATGCACAATATTTTAAAATTCTGCTAATTTTATTTGTTAAAATAATACTACATAATCACGCCAGTTACAATTATTTTGGTAATTTAATTCAAAATACATGTCAGCAAGGATGTCTGTAACAATATGGACACACACACAAATTCCCCCAGGAGTAGAGAGTTTAAAGAAACTCCAGTGAAAACCCAGTGCCTCTTTTTCTGCCCTCTAACCTTAAGCCCCAGCGCCCAAGTCCAAGGAGGACCAAACACCTGGACTTGTTCAGATGTAAAGTGTACTCAACGTGGGGGGGCTCCAGCTCAGGATTGCCAACTAGCTGGTATAACTTCAACTCCTGGAACTCTATGCTCAAGTTCAAGGAGCTTGTGCCAACTGAGTCCAGGGAGGAGTTTGGAGCCATAGTGGAGGAGGGCAAGGCAGTGGCATGGACCTCTTTTCAGGCCTCACTGTACACTATGTACTCGGTGGCACATACATTGTTCTCCGGTATCACCACTTCTACTGTGCTTGGTCCCAAATAACCTCAGACCACTGAGTCTGCTGCATGATGGAAGAGGAATACTCTCTTCAGTTCTGCTCCTACCCTCCTTCCCAGTCCCTCTTCAGGGACCCCTCACGAGCAACTCCTTATCCAGGAGGTGCAGGCGCTCCTCGCCATGGGAGCAGTGGAGGAGGTTCCTGAGGAGATAAGGGGCAAGGGATTCTACTCCTGATACTTCCTAATCCCAAAGGGCGTCTCAGACCCAATCTAAATCTGTGCAGACTCAACAAGTTCATGGTAAAGTTGGAAGTTCCTCATGGTCTCCCTGGGCACCATTATCCCCTCCCTGGATCCAGGAGACTCGTATGCCGCCATTGACATGAAAGACGTATACTTCCATATAGCGATTTGCCCCGCACACCTGCGCTTCCTATGCTTTGTGGTCAACCACAAGTATTACCAATTCCCTGTCCTATCATTTGGCCTCTCAACAGCCTCCCGGGTGTTCACCAAGTGCATGTCGGTCGTGGCTGCTTTCCTCTGTCACCAGCAGGTGCAGGTATACCTACCTCGTCGACTGGCTGCTCAGGGGCTGCACCAGGGCACAGGTGCAGTCCCAAATCCGCTTGGTCGGGTGCACGTTCAAGCGGCTGGGTCTCCTCCTCAACTTGGGGAAGTTGACCTTGGAACCGACCCAGAGAATAGAATTCATTGGGGCAGTGTTAGACTCGGTTCAGGCGCGAGCTCTTCTGCCAGAGACCCTATTCCGAGCCATCACGGACATAATTCAAAGCCCCCAGCAATTCCCAACCACAACAGCAAGGAATGCCTGAGTCCTCTCTGCCACATGGCTGCTTGCACTTACGTGACCCGGCACACCAGGCTCCGGCTCAGACCGCTGCAGGCACGGCTCCCATCAGCCTGCTGCCTGGGGCGCAACAGCTTGAATTCAGTGGTCATGGTAACAGGGCAGGTCCTCACGTCCCTCCACTGGTGGCTCGACCCCCAAGTGGTGTGCAGAGGAGTCCCCTTCCACAACCCTTAGCCTTCCTTGTCCCTGGTTACAGATGCGTCGGCTCTGGGATGGGGGTAGCATCTGGGGGATCTCCAGACACAGGGCCTGTGATTGCAGGACGAGCTCTCCCTACATATCAACATCAAGGAGCTGAGGGCAGTGCTCCTTGCTTGCCAGGCTTTCTAGGCCCGACTGCAAGGCCAGTGCACAGTGGTTCTAATGGACAACACCACCCCCTTGTTTTACATCCACAATCAGGGTGGAGCCCGTTCCTCTCCCCTATGCCCGGAGGCCCACTGGCTCTGGGAGTTCTGCACAGCCCATTCCAGTCACCTGGAAGCATCCTATCTACCAGGAGTTCAGAACACGCTGGCGGACGGCCTCAGCAGGTCCTTCCGCACACACGGGTGTCCATCCGGCTGGATGTCATACACCTCATTTTCCAAAGGTGGGAGTTTCCCCAGGTCAGCCTGTTCGCCACCCAACGCAACAGGAAGTGCCCAATGTTCTGCTCCTTCCAGGGTGGCAGCCCAGGCTCCCTCACGGACGTATTCCTGCTACCCTGGAGAGGTCGCCTGCTCTACGCCTTTCCCCCGTTCCCTCTCATGCACAAGGTCCTGCTCAAGGTCCGCAGGGAGGGGGCAAAGGTAATTCTGATAGCTCCAGCATGGCCTCGACGACATTGGTACACTGTGCTACTGGAGCTGTTGGTGGATGCACCGGTCATGTTACCTCTCCTCCCCGACTTACTCACTCAGGACCACGGTCGCCTCCATCTCCTCACTATATGTTCCATTCTATGCATCCGCTGAAGTGGGCTGTAGCCCACGAAAGCTTATGCTCAAATAAATTTGTTAGTCTCTAAGGTGCCACAAGTACTCCTGTTCTTTTTGCGGATACACACTAACACGGCTGCGACTCTGAAACCTGTCACATGTTACATGCAGCAGGGAGAAACCACGGATTGCTCTTGGGTTTACGTAACTCCTGGTGTCTGCAGTTTGTTGTTTGGCAGTGATGTGGAATGCTGTCCTCTGGTGGCAAAATGTACCACCAGCAGCACTGTGAGAAATTCATTGGTTACACCTGAGCTGAAGATGTGGATGTTTGGAATTGGGGGCGTGCAGCCCAAAATGAGAAACCACAGTACAGGAAGAGCAGGAGGAATGCACAGAGGGCAAGGAGTTATGCAGGGATAGGAATGGCTGTGCTTGGGCTTTATTATTGATTTGCATGGATTGGGGACAGGGTGTGTCACTCTGGCATTATTGTTCTATGGGCTAGACAGGTCCAGGTAATCTTCACTCAGCACAGGATCTGGGTGGGGGAGTGGCAAAGGTTGTTCTAAATCACCTTTTGGTTTTGATTCCATTTGTCAGGAGCAAGTGCAGGCAAAGCAGGTGCGTTCAGGGGAGGATCTGGCCCCATATTTTGAAATACTTTAAATAAAAGCTTTACAACAAGCCAAACAAAAATATTTTGTTGCGGAGCAGTAAAATTGTAGCTCCTCCTCCCCCGACCCCTGACTTTGCAGCACCCTCCCCTCAGGGTCTGTTTCCTCTCCTCCTCCCTGTATTGGGAGGCCATTGGCTTTGGCTCTGTGGCTTCTCTCAGGCTCACCCACTCCCACCATTAATCATTCCAGAGTCCTGGCTTGTCGGTGTCTTTTCTGGTACTTGATTTTCTCACTATATTTTGTTTTCTCCCTCAGACGAACATTGGTTCCATCTTGGCATCGGTAAATCCATACAAACCCATCTCTGGTCTGTACAGTGCGAGTGCCATGGACCTGTACAGACGGCATCACCTGGGTGAGCTGCCGCCCCATATCTTTGCCACTGCTAATGAGTGTTACTGCTGCTTGTGGAAGCGTCACGACAGCCAGTGTGTTCTGATCAGGTTAGAGACTAAACATACAGCTAACCCCCTAGTTGTATTACACTCCCCACTCCCACCATCCTGTGTACGATGGCACCTGTGTTCCTACCCCTTGTCTCTCCTACGCCTGCAGTAGTGGAGATGCCCCACATTTGGTCCTACAGACCACTTACATAAGAATGGCTGTACTGGGTCAGACCAAAGGTCCATCCAGCCCAATATCCTGTCTACCGACAGTGACCAATGCCAGGTGCCCCAGAGGGAGTGAACCTAACAGGCAATGATCAAGTGATCTCTCTCCTGCCATCCATCTCCACCCTCTGACAAACAGAAGCTAGGGACACCATTCCTTACCCACTTTGTCCCACCCAGGGAGAATGGAGAATGTCACTTGCTCTGTTCTGGGTTTGTGAATGTATCATGTCTGTTCCTTAACAGCGGAGAAAGTGGAGCTGGAAAGACCGAGAGCACCAAGTTGTTGCTCAAATTCCTGTCAGCTATGAGCCAGAACTCTCTAGGGGGCCCTGCCTCTGAGAAGAGCACTCACGTGGAGGAAGCCATCCTGGAGAGCAGGTACAGTTCATCTTCACGGAAGAGACAACCAGTGAGCAGTCAGGGACAGTGTCTGCAGGGGTAAGGAGGGCCCTGTATGGCTGGGGCAGCTGCGTGACCTTTATCACACAACAGCCCTTTCACCTCACTGAACAACTAACTTCTGGAAGGCATAGAATGATAGAATCATAGAGTTTGAGGCTAAAATGGACCATTAGATCATCTAGTCTGACCTTCTGTGTAGCACTAGCCATCACCCAGCACCCGCACACTAAACCCAACAATGGAAATGAGACCCACCGAGAATAGGAGGGACCAAGGTGCACCAGCACTCCAGGCCCCAGCAATGGCAGGGGAATGATTACATGAGCTACACACAGATAATCCTGGCAAGTGACATGCTGCAAAGTAAGGCGAATCTCCCCCCACCCCCAAGATCATTGCTTATCTGACCTGGGGGAAAATTCTTTTCCAACCCCATATATGGCAATCAGTTAAATCCTGTGCATGTGAGCAAAAACCAGTCAGCTAAGCCCCTGAGGGAGAATGCTCGGTGCCACCTCAGAGCCCTGGCCCTCCCCATCCAGTGTCCCATCTCCAGCCGTGGCCACTCCTGATGGTTCATAGGAAAGAGATTAAAAAACCTGCCAGATTACGATGGGGATGGGGTGGGAGGAGGAATCCCTTCCTGTCCCTGAAGGTGGCCAGCTGAAACCTGAGCGCCAAACTCTGAAGCATGAACATTCAGGTACCACAGTGATGAGCGCTGTATAAGAACCTGAATAGAAAAGAACGGAACTTCACAGCTGGTATTGGCACATCTAAACAGTGATGGTATTAAGCAGGGACAATGTAAGAAACACACACCCTGGAAGTCCAAGCCCCTTGTAAAGGGCCAGTACAGTGGCTGCTTCCCAAATAGCCCTTTGTAGTTCTGTGGGCCTGTGGCACTTCAGTACTGTTTTCTTCCATGCCTGCCCTTATGCATGAAACACCCCCCCCCCAAACTAATCTGTAAAACCAGAACCCTGTCCTCAGACCCACCTCTGTCGTGGGGCCTGTGGTAAATTGCCAAATGGTAATGGCTGGGCAGGTGGCTAGCAGGGATAACTGACATCACTCAGACCCTAAGTCTGTTTGTCTTTTAAATCTTTTAACTGTGCCTGCAGTGAGTCTGTGTAACGTTCTGTCCCTTTTGCTGCTACCCTCTTCTTGCTTCCTCTGTGACCTCAATTTGTTACAGATACTTGTTGTTTGTCTTTAAATAGATTGTAAGCTGTTTGGGACAGGGAGTGTTTCTTGTTACTTGTGCAGTGCCTGGCATAATGTGCATCCATCCTAGGCCTTTGGGAGAAATTGCAATATGAATAGTAAGACTAATATATAATCATTAGATTCCCCATGCTGCATGAGATCAAGGTGGGAGCTCTCTATTCTCCTTGGAGGTATAAGCAGAGGAATATCGAGCAGTAGGGAAGCGTGATTGCCACTGTATACAGCATTGGTGAGACTGTTACTGGATAGTACGTCCCATTGTGGGGTGCAGACTTTAAAAAGAAAGTTGACAAATTTGAGAGGACTCAGAGAAGAGCTACAGGAATGATTCACGATCTGGAAAATTTGCCTTGTACTGAAAGGCTTAATATGTTTTGTTTATCCAAGAGAAGGTTAAGAGGTGACTTGATCATGGCCTATAAGATTTCTGATGACTGAGGGCGCTTTAACGTGGCCAACAAATGCATAACAAGATCTAGCGTCTGAAAGTGAAGCTAGACAAAGTCAGATTAGAAATAAGGAACACATCTCTGACAAGGAGGGTAATTAACGACGGGAACAACTTATTCAGGGTGTGGTAGATTCTCCATCACTTGGTCTTTAAACCAAGCCTGGGTATCTCTTTCTAAAAGACACGCTATAGCTCAACCAGAAGCAGAGCTGTCCCTAGGGTAGGGCGAATCGGGGCGGTCACCCTGGGCCCCGCGCTTTGGGGGGCCCCGTGGCGGCCAACCCAAATCGCTGTACCCTAGGGATGACTGTGTGTGCATGTCGTGCGGGGGGTGCGAGGCCAGCCTGGGGGGGCGGGGTTAGCATGCGCGGGGCCAGACTGGCCCAGGCAGTTAGTGGGGGGCCTGGCGCTGGCAGCGGGGGTCAGGTCCGCACTCACCGGTGGGAAACAGTAGCAGCAACCCCAGCCTGCCCCGCCAGCTCCCGGTGTCGCTTGGGGGAGGGGGCGGAAGCAGGAAAGAGACGGGGCAGGGGTGGGAAGAGGCGGGGTGGGGGCTTGGGGGAAGGGGTGGAGTGGGGGCGGGATTGTCCTAGTCCCCCTCCCCCCCACACCAGGGAGTAATGGGCTCAGTGCAGGAATCCTCGGTGAGATTTTGTGACCTGTATTATGCAGGAGGTCAGACTAAATGATCATAATGGTCCCTTATGGCCTTAAAAATCTGAGTCTCCTGTTAGTGGTTCCTTTACTTCTCCTTGGTAGCCAGTTAGAATGAGCCCCAGACGAGATATAATGGGAACAGTCCTCAGCTGTGCTGAGCTCCATGCTATATGGTGAATCTGCCACAGACCTATGCAGACCCCTCTACTGTGGTGAACTGTCTCCCCAAATCTTTGCTATTGATGGGGACAGAGGAAAAGGTGGTTCTAAGTCACTTTTGTGCTTCCTGTGATCCTGGGGCTTGGCTGGGAGCTGATCCAGTCTCCAGCTCAAATTAAATCAGTTACCGGGCTTCTCTAACCTGTGCCAGCTAGAATGCCCTCTAGGGACCCTTTTCCTGATTGAGCATCAGTGTTGTGTGAGGCATTCTAGCTCTACCCTAGTCTGCAGAAGAGAAGAATGAGGGGGGATTTGATAGCTGCTTTCAACTACCTGAAAGGGAGTTACAAAGAGGATGGATCTAGACTGTTCTCAGCGGTAGCAGATGACCGAACAAGGAGCAATGGTCTCAAGTTGCAGTGGGGGAGGTTTAAGTTGGATATTAGGAAAAACTTTTTCACGAGGAGGGTGGTGAAGCACTAGAATGGGTTACCTAGGGAGGTGGTGGAATCTCCTTCCTTAGAGGTTTTTAAGGTCAGGCTTGACAAAACCCTGGCTGGGATGATTTAGTTGGGAATTGGTCCTGCTTTGAGCAGGGGGTTGGACTAGGTGACCTCCTGAGGTCCCTTCCAACCCTGATATTCTATGATTCTATTATTCTACCCTCTCTAGCCTCCAAATGGCTGTCATACCCCTCTGCCTGAGGCCTACAGGGCTGGGGAATTCTCAGCAGCACCCAGAAAACCGCTTTAAGGTCACTTTTTATGCTACTCCAGTGGCACCGAATGATCTTAGTGGGGCTGAGGAACTGGGCTAATGTATACAGAAAGCCAGCAATGCTATTGTTACATTTCAGCTCAGACTTGCTCATAATATTAAAGGGTCTCCTGTGTGGTGTAATGTTATCGTAATCTTGTTTACTTGCTTTTTGTGAAAGTTCATGCTTTGTATTTTTCCCAGAAATCCAGTCTCTGAAAACTCTCTTATCCCAACTGGGTTAGTTTCAGTGGTGTTCTTGTTTGTCATGTCCCTTATTTTAGCTTCTTCATTAGAAATGTTAACGTATCTCTCACATTTCCGTCTTGCTTGCTTGGTCTCTTCAGGAGACTTGATTTCCAAGACAGAGAAAATGTATGAAAATATTTGTACTTGTTTATTGAAACTTCAGCAAGTTTTGAGATTTTTATGTGAAGATGCTTCTTTGTTAAATTGATATCCTTCCTCCGTGAAAGAAAGCTAGTGCTAGAAGGATTTTGAAAGGTGCATAAAACAGGTTGTTGATGTTTTCTCTAATATATATTTTATTTTCCCAGGGGTTCTACTCCATCTTCATCCTCCTCGATCTCTCTGCTCCTTTTGACACTGTTGATCATACCCTCCTTCGTGACATTTTGTCCTCCCTTGGCTTTTGTGACTCCGTCCTCTCCTGGTTCTCCTCCTACTTCACTGGCTGCACGTTCAGCATCTCTTTCGGTGGGTCCTCTTCCTTCCCTCTCCAACTGTTCGTGGGGTCCCACAGTGCTCTGTCCTTGGCCCTACTCCTTTCTGCTCCCTTTACCCTTCTCTCTGGGTGACCTCATCTGCGCCCATGGCTTCAGCTCTCATCTCTAAGTTAATGTGTCACAGATCTACCTCTCCATTCCTGATCTGTCTCCTTCAGTCAGTCCCATATCTCTGTCTGTTTCTCTGACATCTTCTCCAGGATACTTCTCACTGTCCACTTTTTAATATGGCCAAAGCCAAACTTCTGATCTTTCCTCTGAAACCATCCTCACTCCCGCTGTTTTCTGTCACTGTTGACAATACAACTGTCCTCTCTGCCATTCAGGTCTGTAATCTGGGAGTCATCTTTGACTGCTCTCTTTTTACCTCTTACATCCAGCCTATGTCTAAATTCTGCAGCTGCTTCCTTTACAACATTTCCAAAATCCAATATTTTCTTTCTCTCCATATAGCTAAAACTCTGGTTCCAGACCCTTCTCATTTGCTGTCTTTACTACTGCTGCCTGCTCTGCTCAGGCCTGCCTGTCATCCATCTCTGGTGCCTTCAAAATGAAGCATCTAAGATCATCCTTCTAGCCTGTCACTCTGTCACCCTCACCCCTTTGAATTCCTGCCCTGCACAGGGTTCCTGTTCTCCACTGCATCAAATGCCAACACCGTCAGGGCCCTTCACAACTCTGTTCCACATACATCTCTGCGCTTGTCTCTCACTGTATTGCCTCCCCCATTCTCTCTGCTTCACTAATAATGGCAGCCTTAAATGCCTATTTGTCCATTCTCCCACAAATGCCTCTGCACCTTTTTCCATGCTGCCCCTTATGCATGGAATGCCTCACTGAGCTAAACTGTATAGCCACTCCCCTCTGCTCCTTCAAATCCTTCCTCCAGATCCACTTCTGCCATAGTCCCTGCTGGAAATCAGCTCTTCAGTGAGCGCTTGGGGCTGCTGCAGTTGGAGAGAGCTGATTTGATTTAATTACTATTATTATTTAAATTCAGATTATTTAGAACCACCAGGAATTGTCAAATTGGTAGTTAACCTACACGATGTAACTGTGGTAACCATGTGACCTTATTATCCTCACCCATGTCCTCCTTTCCCCTTCTGTTTGTCATGGTCATTTTGTTTCAGATTAGACCCTGATCCTGCAAATATGTATGTGTGTAATATTGTGCATGTGCGGTGTCGATGAACCAGTGGGACTACTTGTGTGTAAAGTTACTCATGTGTAAGTGTTAGCAGGATCAGGACTTGGATAGTAAGCTGTCTGGGGCAGGGACAACACTTCCTGGTGTTTGTGCAGCTCCCAGCACAGAGGAACCTGGTCCTGCATGGGCTGTCTGGGTGCTGTTGCAATACAAATAATTTCATTTTTGCCTTTGTTTAAAGACTGTTTTTCAAAGAATAAAGTATAAAGATAGGGCTTGAGATTCTGTAAAGCATTCCCTGCATTTCAGTGTCACTCCCTTCACATAGCTGACCTTGTCCAAAGTCAAGACAACCTGCTATTTTCTGCAAACTCCAGCAGTATTTGATCTCAAATAACATTGTAGGTCATAATTATTTTTTAACTTTTTCATAATCCTGGATCTGCTTGTCTCTGAAACTGCACAGATGAAACTATGGGCATCATCCACACATTCAAAAAAATATTTCTCAAAGTGATAATACAATCCTCTTTGTTACAAATCACAATGAGTTTTAGTGTTAAATATAAACTTTTACAGAGCATTCCTGCAATGTGGCCTTGACTTTTTCTTTGTGTTTTGTTTTCCCCACTGAACTTTTAATCTTTGTATTGGTTAAACCACTGGCTCTCAACCTTTCCAGACTTCTGTACCCATTTGAGAAGTCTGATTTGTCTTGTGTACCCCCAAGTTTCACTGCACTTGAAAAGTACTTGCTTACAAAATCAGACATAAAAATACAAGTGTGTCACAGCACACTATTACTGAAAGTTGCTTACTTTTTAATTTTTACCATGGAATATAAATACAGTACTTACATTTAAGTGTATAGTATATAGAGCAGTATAAACAAGTCATTGTCTGTATGACATTTTAGTTTGTACTGACTTCACTAGTGCTTCCTATGTAGCATGTTGTAAAACTAGGCAAATATCTAGATGAGTTGACGTACCTGCTGAAAGACCTCTGCATTCCCCAAGGGTACATGTACCTCTGGTTGAGAACCACTGGGTTAAACTATTAAATGGAATATTCTAATCCTGGTCCCAATTTGCCTGTTTGAATGAAACTGGCTTTTTCCCCTTGAAGTGTAATTGATATTGTTCTGCTGAGCAAGAATCAAAGTCTCTAAGCAGCTCACTGCAGTTATAACCCAACATTGTCTTGCCAGTTTGAACCAGCTGAGGCTGATCAGGAAAGCTGGTTTTTAAAACAAGACAAGCTTTTTTTATTTCATGATCAGACTGAAGGTTTAAGACTTGAATCCAGTTGGGAGCATATTCTTCCTGAGTTGGCATACTGCTCTCAGCATGAGGTTTGAAATACATAGGGAGTATGTTTTCCTACATGCTTGGAAAGCACTTAGTATAATTGGGACTTGATTCCAATTGTAAATAACAGCATAAATGTTCTAGAACCACTGGTTCATATTCCAGCATGGCCATCTCAGTCATTGATCTGTACAAAGCAAATTAATTTAGCATATATATTTCTCGCTTCGTGATTGTTTGAAAACATGTAATGTTCTCCACCTCACGGTGTTGTAGTTATGCCGTTCCATTTTCAGATGGGGAAGTTGTGGCAAAGAAGTGGCTTGCCCAAAGCTGCAGACAGGGGTAGTGTGAGAACAAGGGTTGGGACTAGTCCCGCTAGATCCAGAGGTGGGCAAACTTTTTGGACTGAGGGTCACATCTCTATATGGAAATTGTATGGAGGGCCAGCTGGGGCAGGGGATTGGGGCATATGGGAGGGATGAGGGCTCCAGATGGGGGTGCAGACTCTGGGGTAGGGCTGGGGATGAGGGGTTTGGGGTGCAGGAGGGTGCTCTGGGCTGGGATGGAGGGGTTTGGAAGGCGAGAGGGGGATCTCTGCTGGGGCAGGGGTTTGGAGCGCATGGGAGGGATGAGGGCTCCAGATGGGGGTGCAGACTCTGAGGTGGGGCTGGGGATGAGGGGTTTGGGGTGCAGGAGGGTGCTCAGGGCTAGGATCAAAGGGTTTGGAGGGTGATCAGGGATGGGGCAGAGGGTTGAGGTGCGGGGTTGGGGGGGGGCTTAGGGGTGCAGGGTCCGGGCGGCGCTTACCTGAAGCAGCTCCTGGAAACAGTGGCCCGTCCCCCTTCTGGAGGCAGGGCCACGCTGCTCTGCATGCTGCCCTGTCCACAGGCACCGCACCTGCAGCTCCCATTGGCCGCGGTTCCCAGCCAATGGGAGCTGCAGAGCCATCGCTTGGGGTGGGGGCAGCGAGCAGAGTCCCCTGGCTGCTCCTGTTTCTGGGAGCCCCGCGGACCTGCTGCACACGCAGAGCAAGGCAAGCCCCCAACCCTGCTCCCCGGCTGGAGCAGCAGAGCAGGGAAAGCTCCCAACCCAGCTCCCCGCCAGGAGCTTGAGGGCAAGATTAAAAGGTCCGATGGGCTGGGTGCAGACCACGGGCCGTAGTTTGTCCAGCCCTGCACTAGACCACCTGAGTCCCTGCAGGTTGGTATGTGTGGATCTTCAGCCTGAAACCTTAACAACTGAGGCTTTTCCATGCTGAATGGACATTAAAGATCCCAGGGCAGTTTTCTTAAGACAGGGGTTTGCCCCAAACTTTGGTGACCTTTCTGAAAATCTTGGGCAACAAGAGCCCAGTTTACCTCTACTGCATAGAGTTGTATTGTGCATCCTATTAACAAATTATTGTCCTGACTCGTCTAGCTTCCAAGTGCAATAAAGGCATAGCCAGGAGGGTGACTTGTTTTGAATGTGAGATGGGCCCAAACAGTGCTAGTGCTGAATGCCCGCATGAACCTGGGTCTGATTTAACTAATCCCAATCCCAGCGTTTAACACCTATTTAGTAGTGTGTTATAGCTGCCTCTTGCCAACACCGCCAGCCTCTCCCCCCCAGCTCTGCCTAGCTTATTTTACCTGCAGTTTTCTCCAGTCTGTGTTATGGTGAATGTAATACTGAGATGGCGGAATGCACCTGCTGCAAAGCTAATCCTGCCTGAGTCACACTGGTGTTGGTGCTGCTGTTCAGGTCCATGATTGTCTTCCTTCCCCAGCCCTATCCTGGAGGCCTTCGGAAACGCCAAGACAGTTTATAACAACAACTCCAGCCGCTTTGGCAAGTTCATCCAGCTGCACTTCTCCCATCATGGACATATCCAGGGAGGGCGAGTCACCGATTGTATCCTTTCCTCTTGCCACCTCTGCCCCTTCCTGCTCCAACACACACATCAAAGAGGGGAGGAGCCTGTGGAGGCTGAAAATGGGTGGGCAAATTTCCCTGTAATGGTGTGATTTTCTTTGTATCTTACTTAGAACAGGTAAGAACATGTCTACTCTGTGAGCCCTGAGGAGTTTGCACTACTTTATCCTTCCCTGCATCTATAGATCCCTTAATATCTATGCATGAGATGGGAACCAAGTTTAGGTTCCTATCCCAAAATATCATGAATACTTTAATCCATAGAAGTTTGTAGTAGAGTAGACCTGTTATATCATTTAGTTCATGCTGCTCCCTTGGAAAACAACAAAGGATTGTTCCCTTTTGTGTATGTTCTCTCGGGAGCTGCGGTCAAAAGCCAAGCCCAGGCTGGGAGTTAAGAAGACATTATCCTCCATGTCCAAGCTGCACTCAGATATAAGGAACAATGGCAGCTGTAGGAAGCCAGTTGCAGCTCCCTGATAGAAGAGCTGCCCGGTGCTAGTGCACAGGGGCAACCCTAAGATATGCTGGGGGAGGACTGAGCAGAGTCGAGGTCTGCTCCTGCGCAATCCCCACTGCTGGAATGGCTTGGACACGTCCCCTCCCCTTTCCCATCACACTGGGTTTGGGGGTGGGCAGCTGGGGTAGAAGGCAGCTGGACATCAGCAGAGAGTTATTTTACGTGGTGAGTGCTCCACAGGCCATCTCTGGCTGCTTTAAAGCACTTTGTGCCGCTTACATGGCACAAAGAGGCCCTGACAGACTGGAGGATCTGGCCCACAGAGTCAGGTGGCAGCCAAGTTAGTGATTTATTGTGGGGGAAATTTTGGCTTGAGTGACTTGCCCAAGGCCAACCTTGGGTGCCTAAAGGTAAGAGACCTAAATAGGTGACTTGATTTTCAAAGATGCTGAGCACTGCAAATCCCACTAACTTCCAGGGGAGCAGCAGGTGCTTACGACCATTGAAAATAATTCTCCCTTGTCCAGTGCCGTTGCTGGTGCTGTTTTCAAAAAAGAAAAGAAAAAACAATTGGGATAGAGTGACAGCTCAGCCTCTCCTCTGCTCTTCTCTCCTCTCCCACTTTCTGCAGGTAAAGGCTCCTCCATCTCAAATAGAAGTTGGGGCAAAAATCACTAGGGAAGTTTTCTGGCCTGTGTTATGTAGGAGGTCAGGCTAGATTATTATAATGCGTCACTTCTGGCCTTAAAAACTATGAAGCTCTAGCTTCTGTGACCTCACTGGATACCCTGGGCTTGACCTCTGCCTCTCCTGGGGTACTCTGCCCTGCCACAGGCCCTGTGGTGGGCCTGACCTTGCTTCCACTCTCTCTCTTAAATCTCTTGTTCTGAAAGTAGTGCTCATGGCCATTCAGTGCCTCTTTCCTATAGCCTGAGGCCTGGTCTACATATAAAACATATGACTTGCATCTGAAGAAGTGAGGTTCTTACCCACGAAAGCTTATGCTCCCAGTACTT